GCGGCGCTGACGTACCTGCGGCCGCCTCAAAGTCGGGTCATCCCGGCGGATAACGGCGCCTCAGCGAAACACACGCCTCGACCCTCCATTCGGGGCTGTTTACTCCCAGCTCTCGCGAGACCGCGCAGCCGGGGCGAGGAGACCCAGCGCGGTGAGCGTCGCCCCGGCGGCCTTGCGTGGTCTGCGTGCGCGCTCCGGCGCCGAGAGCCGCGGGCACGGGCCTCAGGGGCGGGCCGTGAGGAGGGACGGAAGTCTCGCGACACTTGAGGCCCTGGGCTGGGGCTGCCGGGAGTGGCCAGTGGCTCGGGCATCGCGGGAGTCGGAGCGAACCGCGAATCCCAAGGTCCGGGCTGGAGAGCTCGGACTGTGAGCGCCGGGCAGGCGGCGGCCGGGCGGGGTCGGATTCTAGACCGGCCGACCCTGGCGACAGCCCCCGCCTCGGCGAGCGTTTGCCACCGTGTTGACAGCTCCTTACTCCAGCTGGCTCCTCTGCAGGCGGCCTTCCTCCACGCGGCCCTCCGTTTCAGGCGCCCCAGGAACCTGGTCCGGACGTCCCTCGCTATTGCACATCATGCCGGTATGGCAGCTGGGTGCGCTTGTGGATTAATCCCATCTGCCTCCCGCCCTGACACGTGAAACCCCAAATCCCGCCGTCTCCACCACAGAACCCCCTGGCCACCTTGACCATTGAGAGGGCCACCTGACAGCCAGGGCATACCTGCTACCAGTGGTACCCGTGCCTGAAAACGGAGATTTGTATCCTCTGTGAAGAAGCAAGGATCCACGGGTTAAACTCTGAAATGTCTGCATCTCCCAAAATGGGTGGGTGATTATATCCTAGGGTCACTGGTTGTTTTCTTTCTAAATGATGAATTAGCCACCCTGGGCATGACAGGTCTGAAGGCAGGAAGCCATGCTGGTGGGCCATGCTGTATGACAGGCTGGTACGGTGTTTGAACTTGCCACTGTGCAGTGTTCATACTACCGAACACTGTGTACAGCACCCACACGGTAAGGAACCACAGCACCCTCCTCCTGCATGCGATTTAGCCAACCTGATTTAATTTAGAGAATAAAGGAGCACAGAGCGCCACATCTGATCTTGGGCATCCACTGTGTAATTTAAGTAATTTTAAAAAATAATTATATTTAACTATTTCATTTCATGGGGGGGGGGGGGGGAGAATGAGAAAACAAGCTGCCAGGTCTAGGACTTGAACAAAGGTCGACCATGTGGAATTCCAGTTAAGGAATCACCACGCCACCTCCGGTCCACTGTGTAACTTTGAGTCAGTCATTTAACCATTTTTAACCTCCGCCTCCTCATGCAAAAAGTAGGGATGTGAATGCCCACCTCACAGGACAAGACTTACATGAGACATCTATATGAATGCTTGGCTCATGTAGGATTCAAGAAATGGTGGTGACAGAGCCAGCAGGTGGCATGGAGGTCAAGGTACTGGATCCCACGTGGCCAGCTGCACAGTTCCAGTCTCGGACTGGCAGCTTGAAAATCAAGCTGGGTATGTGTGCATGCTCAAAATCCTGAAAGGAGACTGGAGGAGAAAGGACTGTGGCGTGAAAACTCCCCCTGGGAAATAGTGGTGGATTCTCAAGTCCTTTCCAGATTCATATTTCAAACAATTTTATGAACTTTCAGATTCCTGACCTACTGCATTTGTAAATCTTCAAACTTCAGCACTCCCTTCTGCCACCGTGTAATCATTTGATCTTAAACCTGGCTATGTTATTCTTACTTGGAGTAAATTCACCTTGGCCCTTAACAGGCCTAAAGGTCACTATGCTCTTGAATCCACAGTCACACCATAGAAGCCGAGGTGGATTAGTGAAGAGCAAATGTCCTTGCCACGTGACAGTGAAACTCCAAAGTGGGGGAACAATGCTACCAGCTCCTGTTGGTGCCTCTGAACAGGGCTGCTGGAACATGGGGAAGAGCAGTCACCTGGCCTCTGACTGAGGAAAGCTGAGCCCTGCAGGAGCCTGCTTTACCACCAGTGGTCTTCCCACTCCTGGTTCTAAAACATCTTGGGCTCATGCTTCATGAATGGAATAAAGCATCTGCAATTCCACAGAAAGGTAAATGTTTATTCAACTCGACGTTATTTTAAAGAACAGCAGCTAAATCAACACTGAGACAGACTGGAGCTGGTTCTGGGGGACACAGAATGTCAAGCCTGAGGACACACCACTTAACCCTCTGCTTCCCAAACAGGTCAAGATTTTAAGTAATTAAGGTTAGGGGGAAAAAAGGAGTCCTAAGAGCTGTCTCTATGTGCTCTCTTCCCTAATTCTTCCCACTCTTTCTTGAGCCCCCTACAATCCGGCTTTCATCCCCACTACTGGGTTGAAACAGCTCATGGGGAATCACCAGTGATCTCTACCCTGCCAAAAACAATGATCCAATCTGTCTCGTCTTACTCAACCTATCAGGAAAACAAGACCAAGGAATCAACTTAATAACTTTAAAAAAAATATTAGGCACAATGTTATCTACAATTTTGTTATCGAAGTATCGGCTTTTAATGAATTATGAATACAACTATTCATATTTTTTTAATAATCAATTCTAGGGGGGAAAGAAGTCTCTCTCATTCCAAACAACCAACTTATAAACATTTCTACCTCTTCTCAAGGAAACAGAAGCAACTGCTTTTATTGCTAAATTTCAGCTTACAGATTGAGCATCAAAGTTTGTATCCCCCAAAATTCTTTATAAGAAACCCCACCCACAGTGGTCCTGTTAACCCTCAAATGAGCTAGAAGGAAAATAAGTATTTTACAAAAGCTAGCAAAATTCTTTGTCTTGATCTTTCTCTAAAGCGACAGTCAACTCTGCACCACATCTGCACCAATTAACACGTTTTCCTGTCCCCTGCCAAGGACACAATTTTGAAACATCTCTCACGAGGAGTGTCCACTTACTCTCACCACATGACAAGGAGTCCATGCCTCATTTATAAAGATAAGACCTGCCTGGCCCACAGAACCTACACAGAGCCGTCCTACAACACTTTTACACACCTCAACTACAGCCCATGGCAATGCGGCATGACTTCGAGAGGGCTCCCTGCTGACCCCTCACAATCATGGTGTTACTCTGTCACCTCCATGTGTGCAGTTTTCACATCTTACGTTCTGAGGACATGATCTAGGAGTCAATGAACTTCTGAGTTTAACCACTGATCTGAGTCCAAGTCTCACCTGGAAATACTAGAGGCAATGGCGTGTGCAAAACTATGTGAAGACTATCAAAGCGTGCTTATGCCCAGGCTTGAGGATGGAAGTCGCCTCATGAGCAAACCATCTCCTGAAGTCCTGCGGTCAACCCACTTACTAGCTTCTGCATCACGGTGCTAAGCTGTCATTCCAAACGCGCACACACTGTCACAGTCGTATAGTGTCTTACAGTATCCAAAGCACGAGGTATGTGCCCTCCAAACTAGTTGGCTTGGTAGGACCTGAACTAAAGACATTCACAGTAGGTCTCAACGTTAACCCACATCACGAGGGCTTGTACATAATTAGCGTCACACCAATAAAGTATTCACGAGAATGCATAAATTCATGACATAAACCAAGAATGAGCTGCTGACTTACTGTTTCAGCAGATACATCATATCACACATAATTTGTCCATAGTTTTAACTACTACTCCATAAATACTTGATGTTTGTATCAATAATGCTACTGGAATGGAATAATATTACAAAGAAAAGTGTATGAAAACAGACATAATAAGCTTTAAAGGACTAAACTTCAGTTATAAAAGTGGGTCACAGGCTAAGAAATCGCTATTTATCTGCAATAATTACAAACCAAAAGATGATCACAGGTTGTTCATTATATATCCAAATCTAGGAATTATTTCATCACATAGCCAATTGGGGGGGGGGGGACATAACATTGGGCAGTATGGTTTAGCATGAAAAGAATAACCTAGACTTTTAATACCCACAAAGTTCCATATGAAGTCATGACAAGGACTCTTTTTAAAAGTAACTTAATCATAAATAAAGTTGTTCACACACCCACGACACACAGACACACATGGTTCTAATGAAATACCAGTTAAGAGCAGCACTTTCATATACAAACAATTAGAACTATGCAATAAAATACACACAGATTTTTACTAACAATACCAGCAACCTCGGTTGTAAAATAACACTTCAGTCATCTTTCCTGACGAACATTTGAAAACCAACACTCTAGCTCATCTAGTGAAACAAGTCATCTTCCTTCAAAAACGACTGTTTATCATCTGAAATGATAAAAGCTGACAAGTCATATATCTTTCAACAGTGGGTTGCTGTAGCTCCTAAAACAACATAAATCACACAACTTTGGAGCAGCTCGGGGAAAAGCATGAGATTTAGGTCTCTCCCACCAGCTCTTAGGCCTGGATAATTTACTCCGTGCCATCCACGTGGGCCTTGAGGTCTTCCTGCAGCATGTTCCGGAAGTATTGTTTGCTTTGCAAATGATAAATCAACAGCGAGTTAAATAATTAGTAATAAAAGAAAACACAAAAATAAATGTGTTTTTCGAAACGTCAGAATACTGTAGGTTCCCATGAGCTGGCAAAACTCCTCCGTGGCTGTCCAGGCTCAGGCAGTGCAGGATAAGGCCTCCTTACGTAACGAACGGTTGAGAATATTTGCTCCCCACACCCAGAGCCACTCGGGCATGTACTGTGCAAAAAGAAACTAAAAATAGGAGAGAAAAAGGTCAGAAGTTAGAACCCCAAAGCATCCACACTGAAGGAACAAATGCACATATCACCACGATTTAACCGACGAAACACCCACTGATCATGTTAAATACGCTGGGAAAAGCTGGCAGGTGCTACTGTGTCACGTGCCTGTTATTCCACAGGCTCCACCCTAGGCTGTAAGGGGAACGGAAAGAGGCTCAGCCCCACCCTCCCCTTTCTCGAGCGGGCAGATCCGCATCTTTGTCTAATGGGGCATGAATGGTGTGCTCACTGGTTAAGAATTACAGAATCACTGCAGGAATAACTCAGTTGGAATAGATGCCTCAGTGGTTAGTGTTGAGTAAGGAACCTGGGACTTAAGGGGCAGGATGGAGCCAAGTTAAATAAGAGAAGTGAGTTAGAAACACCAGGACTGGGGATGGTGTTTTGAGATGTGATGAGGGGGCTCAGGGAACCAGCAGAGGGAGTCTCGATGATCTGCTCTGCTCCAGGGGTCGCAACCAGGACCAATGTGCTCCTAGGGAGCACACGCAACATCTGGAAATATGCGTGCTGGTCACACTGGGGGCGGCATTGCTGGCACCAGGAGGTAGAGGACAGGGTGCTGCTCAACATCCTGCCATACACTGGGCAGCCCCCACAATAAGAAATGATCTACCCCAGGACGCCAATTTGGCATAGCGGTTATGTCGCTGGATTCTCACATGGCCAACGGTGGTTCAAGTCCTGAACCCAGAGGTTTAAAACTCACACTGGGCACATGTGCGTGCGTGCCCAAAATCCTGAGAGAAGGATAGAGGAGAAGGAATTGGGGAGTGGCCATTCCCCCAGGGGGTGATTTCTCGCTTTCTGTCTGTCTCTGTCTCTCTGTCTGTCTCTCTCCAGTGAGCGCACACAACCTATAGCAAGATATTATCCACCTCAAATGTCAGCGTTTCTGAGGGGAGAAACCTGGAGGGAATAACTGTCATCTTTGACCACGTTTAAAGATTTTTTTTTTTGGAGAGGTTTTTGCTATAGGGTGTGTGCACTCGCCAGACAGACAGATACAGACAGAGAGACAGAAAGCGAGAAATCACCCCCCCAGGGGGATGGTCACACCGCAATCCCTTCTCTTCCATTCTCCTCTCAGGATCTTGGGCATACATGCACACGCACCCGGCATGAGTTTTAAGCCATCGGGTGGGTCCGGGACGCGAACTGCGGTCGACTACGTGGGAGTCCAGCGACACAGCCATTACACTAACTGCTGGTCCCCACGTTTAAAGATTTTGTGGGGAAATGCTTGAATACTTCTCCTTGGAGCCCGTGCCTTAAAGCAAAGCGGTCTAAATCCAGGGAGCTAAAGGAGTCACTTGATGGTCCCCGGTGAAGACCCTGACAAGTGTCACACTGAGACATGTCAGTAGCACCCTCCTAAGTGAAGGTTGTGTGTACTTTTTCAGGGTTTAATTAGTGGGGAAGGGATCAGCATCTAAAAACCTGTCTGCTGGTTTTAATTTTCATTTCAATTCATAAGCACTGCCTATTTCAGAGGGAACGTCCCCAGTTCCCTAAGGAGCAGCAGAGACCCAGGCAGCCTGGACTGCTGCTCGCCTGATGAGGAGTTAGCACCCTGGCGGCAGAGCGCAAAGACGAATGGAGGAGGAGAGAATTTAATCCTCTGGGTACTGACAGATAAATGGCATGGGCTGCCTCCACAACCATTCAGATAACCAGAGGTATTGGAAAGGAATGCCAAGTCTCTGGGTACAAGGAACTTCATGAGAGAATACCTAAACTGATGCCGGAAGCAAGCAGGTGTGTGCGTGCATGTGTGTGCATGTGTGCGTGTGCGTGTGTGTGAAGGGGTGGATTTCAGGTTCTTTATGGCTTCCACCATGTTCAGTGGGTACTGACAGATAAATGGCATGGGCTGCCTCCACAACCATTCAGATAACCAGAGGTATTGGAAAGGAATGCCAAGTCTCTGGGTACAAGGAACTTCATGAGAGAATACCTAAACTGATGCCGGAAGCAAGCAGGTGTGTGCGTGCATGTGTGTGCATGTGTGTGAAGGGGTGGATTTCAGGTTCTTTATGGCTTCCACCATGTTCAGTGGTTAAGAAAGCAGCCACTCTTCCTCTGTGACAAAAACCGACAACTCCCCCATGCAGTGCAGCCACTGCAGGGATCACCGTTCCGAGAGGCTTGGGACCCCTCAGGCGTGAGGAGTCTCTTCACATGGACACATCCGCCTACTGGAGATCCCCATAGGCCTTTAAAATGCAGGTATCAAACACACCCTGGAACTGAAACCCACAGGACTGACAGATACATGGAACACATGGGGACAGAGGAAGGGAGATCCCCTCATGAGCAAGAGCCCTGAAGCTGGTATCTCCCAGGTGTAAAGAGGGCTTCTGCGGAGGCACTTCCAAACTGCAAACCCAAAGCCAGGCTGGTGCTCCAAGCTTGGCAGTCTGCCTCGGCTGCCACTGACGAGGCCTCTCCCAATCTCAAACTGGCTCCCCTGGCATTGGGACCACTGCTGCCCTCCCAACTCACCCCTGCTCAGAATCCTTGGCTGGGTCTCCTCCCTCCATCTTTCCTAGGAATGTTCAAGCCCTCCTTCCACCTTCCCACAATGTCTCCTCAGACAATGGCACCCACTCCTCCAGCTGTCGGCCAGCTCGATGCTGGTGACCTGCAACCCTTTACCGCCCCTCGGCCCTTCCCCAGGCACCCAGCTACACAGCTGGCAACTCCCCTGCTCTCACGTACTCTTCAAGACCTTCGGAGTCAGCATGTGCACAATCTCACTCTCTCTCACAAACCCGGCCTCTGCCCCTCATGCTGACCTGGGGAAATGGCACCGGGGACTCTGGGAAGCCATACACCTGGGACTATGTTGTGCCTCCCTCTCCCACAACCCGCACATTCAATTCATGCCATGTGTTGTCAAGAGAGAAGTTTAACTCCCAAGATGGAGGACTAAGGAGGACAGCCCACAAACAACTAAACCATAGGTACAACGTATCGAACGTCTTTCTTACAGTCTAAAGGGTGACAGATGATTAAAATCTTGATAAAATTTAGGTCTATTGCAACCTGGGGGAATTGCATTAAGAGATGATTCTTATAAAAGAAAATTTGGGCCATCTGGTGGCATAGTGGTTAAGATGGCTAGATCCCACTTGCCCAGCTACATGGTTAGAGTCCCAGACCCAGAGGCGTGAAAACACACAAGGTACATGTGTGCACATGCCGAAAATCCCAAGAGGAAAACAGAGGAGAAGGGACTGTGGCGTGGCCATCCCCTGAGGGAGTGATCCTCCCTTTCCTTCTTGCATGCTCTGTCTTGTTTCTTTCTGGTAAATGTAAGTGCCCTATAGTAGATTTAAAAAGATCAGAGTAGCAAAAGCTATCAGAGAAATCAGCTATGAACAAAACAGTGACTGATAAGTTTTTGTTGTATAACTTTTTAAAGACTAGATAATGCTGAAAATAATTTGAGTAAAATAAAAACACAAAAATATTGAACATTTTAAACAACTTTGTATAGAAAACTATTCTAGGAATTAAATTCACATAATATAATTTCTGGGCAGAAAAACACATTCTCAGGAAAAGTTCATCAATGTGAGTGAAGTTTAACTGCAATTAAAATGGTGATGTCTTACAGACACAGTCAAGATATTTACCACATTTAAATCCATCCTCATAATATCTTCATCTCTATCAGAACTTCATGATCAGTGGCTTCTAAGACTACTTTTTAGGTTCTGGGCTTTTCTCAAGTAATTAAAGGTCTATAGTCAACAGCCACCCAATAAACGTTTCTTTAGCAAGAAACCTTTAGCCAGAACTTTAGACAAAAGCAAAAACTGGTGCAACGGTAGTATGGGGCTCCACGATACTGAGGCTGCATGGGAAGGTCCCAGGGTGCAGCCCAGAGCCTGTGTAGGTCAGTCTGTGTGTGCTGGCATGTGCATACGTGTGTGTTTCTGTCTTTTTTGGCGAGTGCATGTGCCCTACAGCAAAAACCTCTCAAAAAAAAAAAAATACTAAAACATCTCAACCTGTCATGCCTATACAAACATTAAAAAAAAAAAAATCTACATTCCTCCAATAAATGAGTACAAGAATATACCAAGATAGAATTTAACATAATAATTCCATAAAATATAGAACTATTTTATGATTTAATGTGTTTTGGTTACACTGATCATTTAGGATTAGTAGGATCCTTTTTGACCTTTTTTTTGGGAGAGGCTTTTGCTATATAGGGCACGTGCACTCGCCAGAAAGACAGAAAGCAAGAAATCACCCCCTGGGGGGGATGGCCATGCCCAAATCCCTTCTCCTCCATTCTCCTCTCAGGATCTTGGGCACATACGCACATGCACTCGGTATGAGTTTAAGCCATCGGGTCTGGGACTCGAACTGCAGTCGACTACATGGGAGTCCAGCGACATAGCCATTACTCCCACTGCTGGTCCCAGGATCCTTTTTGACTTTGAAGTTCCATATACTTATTGTTCTTATACTCCTGCTACCAATGATATTAAATCAGTATATTTCATCTTTTAGGGATCACACAGACTGAACTCTTGTGAATTCTTAATAATCCCACAAAAGTGAATTTAGTGTCTTAATCCAAACCTTTAAGAGTGTCAGGCTTAGGACCAGCAGATGGCATAATAGTTATATCACTGGACTCTCATGTAGTTGATCACAGTTTGAATTCCAGCCTAGCAGCTTAAAACTCACACCAGGCACGTGAGTGCATGCCCAAGATCCCAAGAGGAGAATGGAGGAGAAAGGATTGCAGCATGGCCATTCTCCGGGGGGGGGAGGTGGGCATTTCTTATTTTCTGTCTCTCTGTCTCTGTCTCTCTAGTGAGTATATGCACGCTATAGCAAAAATTGCTGGGGTCCAGCCTCGGCGTGGGTGGGTCAGGGGGCTCAGACAGATCCTGGGGCCTCACTGGGTCGGACTCCTCCAAAAAA